TAAAATAAATAACAGCTGTTTCAGTAATGAGACATTTAGTATATTCCTTCAAAAAGTGAGCTTATACAGTTATATCTCTCAACCATGGTAAATGCTACATGACAGTGGTGACCCTAAGAGCACACTATCATTTTGCTTTTGAAATCAAAATGCTCATTTATTCATTTTACAATAAGAGGTAGGAAGACAAACCAGAATGCCTATATTGGTATGATGATTCTAAGAAAATTTTGTGTTCTTTCTTGCTTGATTTATTTTAATGAATATTAAATAGTTACTTTATGCTGAGCTTAGAGGATACAGGTGCAAACAAGAGAGTCCTCTCCCTGCCCTCGTGATTACTTACATTCTCTTTTGAGGAGAAAGGCACAGAACAAGTCCATAATTCTTGTTTTAAATACAATTATGGTAGTGTTGTAATAGAGAAGCACAAGTGCTAAATGAGTGTTCAATGGAGGGATGATATGATCTATCCTGGAAGGGGAACAGTGTTCAAAGAATGCTTTCCTGAGGAGGTGACATTTGTTCTTGAGATTTGGAGAGCAGAGAGGACTTGGACTTTCTCAATAGAAGAGTTTAAGGATGGCATTTTCATTGAAAGCAATGCTCGGGAGCCTGGCTTGGGAATTGTGTTGTAATGTAAGCCCACTTTACTTCTTCGACTGTATTGTGTGCTTAGGGTGGCTTTGGAGCAGTTGCCTCTTAATGCATCCTGCAGGAAAATGAGTAGAAATTCTGTGAAAATGTGGCATAGGGAAGGCAGCATGCTCGGTGACCTCAAGCCAGGACTGAGTGCATATGTTCAAGGCCTGTGTGGATGGAGAGCGCTAAAGGAGAGAGATGAGGACATGAGGCCTGGACAAGACTGGTGAAAGCAGCAGATGCTAGATCACACTGGGCACAATTAAAGACCACACAAGACACTTGAAAAATGGTACTACCTGTGGGGATAATGACCCCAGCAAATGAAACCTTATTAACAGGTACCAGGCAGGGTAGAACCTGATCACAATTGCATTTTAGAAGTACTCACTCTGACTGCTGTATGAGAAGAATTGGAGCAAGGCTTGATGCCAGTTTAGAAGCTGTTTCACCAGTCTACAGAGAAATTATGCCACTTCAGATTAGGGTGGTCGTCATGGTGATTGAGAAAAATAGAAGCATGTGAAAGGTACTTACACAGACAAGTATGAAGGTACTGTAGAGTGTGACTTAATATATTAAGGAGGATCTAGAAAGCTTACAGAAAAAGTGATACTAGTTTAATCTTAAAGGATAAAAAAGGATTGCTTGTAGCAATGTAGTTCAGCACTTAGATTCAATTGCTAAAATATGCAAATTATAAATGATTATTACCTTTTTTACTAGTGTTCCTTTCAGAATCTCTAGAAATGTCACATAATTAGTGCTCTGAGTTCTGTAATAGTGTTACTCAGTGCTTTACAATGTAATAAATCTACATTTCCTGAAAATTATTTTATAATTTAGTCTTATCACTAAATCAGATTAACTCCCTCTCCATCAACGCACACCCAAATTTAAGTATATTAATGAGAATTTGGGGCATTTAAAAACATTTTTGTACTACTTATTAAATTGCCCAAGATAAATCACTGTATCAATAGACCTGTATCCTTCCACACTGAATTTCTGCTTATTTTTTGTCCCAAGAGATTTATTACTCAATTAGCTTAACAATTTTGGAAGTAATTTCACAGTCTAAAATATTTTAAGTATCCTTGGTTCTCTCTTTTTGAAAAGTAGATGTGCTTGGATCTGGAAATTAGCTAGGCCAAATAGATGTATAAAAGTGTTGATTTGTTAGAATTTATAAAAGCTCTAGTTTTTTTTTTCACTTTTCAAATAAAGGGAAATTATATCTAATGAAGATTCTATGATTATTTAACAGATTGCTTGTGGCTGCTAGAGGGCCTCTCCTTTCTACTTCTTCTTTTGTAATTAATATTTTTTCATTTTTTCTATGCAGAGAGTGCATGAAGGAAATTTTGTTTGGAATAAAATCCTGCATAGTGTTTTAAGGCAGCATAATTTATTTAGTGATTCATCTTTGCTATTTATTTTTATTAAGCAAATCAAGCCAGGATATTAGTTTTGCACTCTTGCTTTCAAACTAGTGGTTGCTTTATGGAATCACTCCAGGTCACAGAGAGTTCAATAAGATGTATCTCATTGAGGCATTACCCTGCACACCATCTGCCCACACTAAATCACAATAAGTAGGATGTGTACTTGTGCATTGCTGATTCTTGTTTTACTGCAATTTCATGTCATCTCATGGTTATTACAATTGTCCAATTACAGTTGATCAAATTGGATTATTGTTAATTAGTGAGTCTGTCTCTTAGTCCAGAGGGCTAGTTGGATGTAATTATCTGTTTAAGTGGTCTGTCTTCAAATATAGAAAATCCAATGTCCTGCTTGAAGAAAAATCTTGGTGGGAAGGAGAAGACATAAGATTGAACTGTACGAAAGCGAAAGAATAATTTCAAAATAGTCTTTTACTAAGCTGAATGCATTTGTTATGGTCTTAAATATCTTTGGAGGAAAGTGACTTTGGCTACGCGGCATTTGATGTTTATTTATCTACAAAGAAATGACACGCTGAGGTTATGAAAACACAAATCCTATGGCCCTGTGAGGAGAAGAAATAGTTCATTTCAAACAACCCATTTATAACAGATTTAGGTTCCTATGAAGATTTATAATATTTTGAGTAGTGCCAAACCAGGAAATTTTCTCTTACTGTATGCTGCACACAATGATTACAAAATTGTTGATGGATGCACATGACTTACTGCCCATTTGACAGGCAAATGGGTGAGAATAGGGCATGTGTTCCCTGACAATGCCAATGAGCCTTTCAGCAATGATATCTGCCTGAAAAACTAGAGGAGGATCTGTGGTTAGATGAGATTAAAGAGCATCAAACTTATCAGTTCCTGACATTCTAATTTGGGAGTGATGATTTTGCCATGTCATGTTAAGTCCTAGTGTACAGCCATGCATCATGGTGACACCAGACAGGCCTGAAGTTCTTTAGGGTTTTATCTGACCTAAAAGTTCTCTTTGGCATTTTCTCTTGATCTAGAATAATGAATAGGTGGGGAAAGAGAGAGGGAGAATTTCCTGACTTCTTCCAGTATGGTATTCCATGGTCATCTATTTGCCTCAATTTTGCTGTCATTAGGTATTGATCTTCACTTCCTGGTTCTCTCTCAGTCCAAAAACACTTTAATGCCATCATTTATTCTGCCCAGTATTTCAAGTCTTCATATTATTCTAACAAATTTTCTTAATGAGAACACTATCTCAAAACCAGCACTGAAGATAACCTGCAAGGAATAGTTTACAATTTTGGAGCAGTGCTGAATTAACTTTTATCAAAAAATGATAATCATCTCTTTTATTCCTATACTCTTTTTTTCATGTATCCAGCTATACAACCACCCATTTATCTATCAAAAAAGCAACTAATTTCTCCTATGTGCTGGGCAGTATGTAGGTGCTCAGGGAAAAATGATCAGTAACTTAGATCAAGACTTGCCCTTTAATGTCAAGTTCGTGAGTCATTATTATTCAGCAAAAGTGCTTCGAATGCCTTCTCCACTGGGCACTGTAATTACAGGAGCCACATGTGTAGGATTTGGAAAAAAGTAAACTTTCTGAGGGGATACATGGAAAGAGAAGTATCTACTTTCTCTTTCAGGCTTTACAGATTTAATAGTGATTTATCCACGGTGTCAGGTTGAAGTAAAAAGCACATTATTGATCTTCTGTTCTTCAGTAAACACCTTGCCAATTCAGGCAGCAATGAGGTTGTACTGCCCAGTCCCTGGTCATCCACTGAGTAGGTGGATCTGATGATATCCGATTGTCTGTAGAGAAAATAATTACAGCATGTGATTATATCATTTGTGGTCCTGCATTGATGGCAACTTGCTTTTCAATCAAACCAACATGATGTCTTTGGGAATGTGTGATAAGATTAGGTATTTTGCCAATAAACATGAAAAGTTTGAAAGAGAATGAAAATTCTAAGTGTGGTGATATAGCCTTTCCCTTTACTGAAAATACTGTGAGTGGATTCAGCAGTCATGATTAAATTTTAAAACAATCCTATCCTCTTTGGAAGGCAATTGCTTTAAATTGGATAGATTTCACTCATTTTCCATGTAAGATTTTGAAAATTCTCTTTGCAAACCAACATACTGTATGGCAGGAATGGATATGTCTTTCACTTTAAAATGCAGAATCTCTGTGGTTAATGTATTTGTTGTGGTAAAGTATTTGAAAGGAAATCCTTAGAATAATTTGGGGTAAGGAAAAAATACCGTTTTCAGATAAGTTAGCCTATCATTTTGAACCTTGAAAATTGCCATATTTTGAATGAGAAAGAATTAATAATTGTTCATACCATAAACTGTATGTTTGCATTAAAACATATAATGATTTAAAATAAATCAAACTTCCACATTTTAAAAGGACTTTAGTATAATGTTGTGGCCATAATCATTTTTCAAGATGAATTGTTATTTTTTAGAGTTAATTGATGCTATTATTTAGTTACCGCCCCAGTTGGTTAGTGTCTTGGCAAATAGCTCTCTAGATAAGTGATTCCTGTAAATGGCAACAGTTCCCTTTCCAGGTTAACTTTCCCATCATTTCAAATTGCTTCTGTTAAAAGTGTTTCAGCCTAGAAGCATCATTTCTGAAAAGAGGGGTCCTGTCAGTCTGATATGAAGTTTGCTTTCCTGAGGTTTGTAATTTATGTGGGGATCAGGGAGGAGAGGAAAAAGTCAGGATGCCAAATTGTGAAGAGTATTTGTTACTGTGGGGCTCCATCCAAAAAGGGCTTGTAATACTGTGTACAGTCTTGTAGCCCAGCTGTGTGGAGCATTGATTGCTTCTGCCTAGAGCAGGGATCCTGTCAAGTTGCTCTGTGAGTTGAGTCATCTATTGACAAAGAGCTACCAGCCCGCAGATAATGCTGTGAGGAGCTGCTCTCGCTGCTCCTGCTGCTCCCACGATGCACTGCTTATAGCAGCTGTCAAAGATACTGAGGGATCCACGGGGGGAAAAAATTTTACAACTGCCTGGAAGAAAGGGGTGTAAGGGAGGAAACATTTCTGTGCAGAGCTGACCAAAGGAAGAAGTAGGCATCAACACAGCATGAATGCTTACCTCACCAAGCAACCCAGCTGCAGCCGGGGGTCTGATGGGATGGATGCCGGCAGGGGTGCACCCGCCCTCATCAGGGATGCTCACTGTGCCTGTGGCTGGCAGAGAAGCCCTCAAGGGCTCGGGTACAGTTCTCAGACCATGCCGTCCTCAGGATCTGGGGGGCCAGCTTCAAACAGGACCAAGCTGGTCACCTTGTGGGACAGTGTGCGGAAAAGCCCCCACAAGATGAGCACCAAGGGCAGAGGGACTTGTGGGGACCGTTGTGTCTGCCCACATGGTTGGTTCAGCCCTGCACAGGTGAGCCTTTTCCTTGTGACTTTCCCTATAGTACCCTAAGAAAGTTGTATGAAGTCAGGGTGGTTTGGAAACTTTGCTGAGTCCTCCTCCCTCACTGTTTTTTTCTATTTGAAAAATGTTAGGCAAAAAAATACCTGTCAGTTTCACACGTGTTTGTGGATTAAGCACCTATGGGTAGCCCAGAAATGTCTAGGGATGCTGTGCTCAGTTTTTTTCAGTGACTTTTCCTCAAGTTCAACTTCTCTGGTGGTCAGATGATTTTATTACTGTGCATCATAGATTTTTAGCAGCACTTTTACTTATAATCATGGTTAACTTTCCTATTCTGTCTAGTCTACTTTTTAAATTATTATTGTTTTGAGGAATAGAAGGGAAATGAATTTCAATTAAATACTTCCTATCCCGTAGAGATAAAAGAACATTCATTTCTTCAGCTACAGAAAATAGTGATTTGAAGTGTCTATTCTGATTTTACCCTTAAAACACTTTATACTCTTCCATTTCTCCTTCCCAGCACAAAATATGTTTGTGTTCAATAACTAATTTTACAAAAGAAAGGAATAATTGAAAACAAGATAGAGTATGATTACACTTAGAAAAAATGAAACATTTTGTCTGTTCATAGTGAAATTGTAAGATTATTTATGGTAAAAACTATAACTCTCTCATAGTGCATTTCTGAAGATGTACATACTTATTTAATTCAGTTCCTAACCTGTTTTTGCCTACTAGCAAAACTACTAGCATTTTACCAGAAATATAATTAGCTAGTTTTCTGACTGCCTCCATCTAAAGAGAGAAAACAACTTTATGCAAAGACTATAAAGAGAAATAAAATACACCTGTAGTCACTGCCATAAATACAGAATAATGACTGTTCTTAAATATGCATTGAAAAGGAAAAAGCTGTGTTTGCAGGAAAAAAATCTCAGTTTCAATGTTTTTAGCATAATTGAGAAGTAGATATTGATCATGAATAAAGTGTTATGATCGGAGAAGTGTAGAGGACATTTTAATTTTTGTAATAGTTTTTAGAAATTCTTCCAAAACGTCATATGGTGTTGGCTTTTCAGAATACACAGACATGGCCATTTATATGACTTTTAATGCATTGACATGAAATTATATGGTTCGCTTAGTGAAAAAGAACATCTCAGTATCTTGATTTATAAGCTAGTGCAGCTTGAAATGGAGCCCTGAATTTAGAAATGCAGTTATTTTTAAAAAGTTAACATGAATTGCAAGCTGAAAAAGCAGTCTTGAAAATTGTGAAGACTTTATTTACTCATTTACAAATACATTAGTTTTGAATTCTTTAACTTCTATTTCTGTGTTGATTATGTTAAGTTTTCAAGGCTCACATAAGCTAGGGAGACAAACTTATAGCATCTACCTTATGTGGATGTTTTGTACAAAGTAGAGAAAGCAAACTTGCTTTATCTTTGTAATTCCTTTTATCTAAGTTGCAATGCACTTTTCATTTAATAAATCCAAATCTCTAATGCTACACTGAAATAACCATATTCTAAAAATCTTGACACTTTTTCAACTGAAGGGAACTTTTCTTTTCCGTTATTTTCATCAGTTTCATACTTGCCTGAAATTATAGTCAGTTAATGCCTTTAAAGATTGAGCGAGGTTCTGTACTGACAGAGGTCTGGTGACATGTGAGAAGGTAATAAATTGCTGGAGCCCTGATATCCTTGACTCTTTGCATATACATTTCTGTATATTTTCTCTCTCATTTACATGTACTGTGTTATTGTCTGGGAAGAATAGTGACCCCCCCCAAATATTATCCCCTGTCTTTTTTTAGGATTTTCAGTGGTAAGACATCATTTCTCATCTCAGATCTGTAAAAGTGCTATGCTAGATTAATCAGCCTCTGTTACCTGTGTCTGTACCCGCCCAAATATATTACACTGAATAATTTTAATATGTTTATACATACATGTGTGCATAGATTTTAGTACACATATATTCAAATATCTCTACAATACTTCACTATTTGATTATACTAACATGTTTTCATCTATATATACATGTATACATATATATATACACATATACAACAATTAGAGTTCTATATTATTCTTAGTTCCTCATTTGAAAAATACTAGCAAAGAATGCTTCATTCTCTTCACATAAAGTATTTCACCTTATAAAACATATTTCCTTAAATTCTGGTAGCTGCTCAAAAAATGCTGACATATTTGTATTTATATACCTTTATTCGTTTACATCTATCTAAAGCATATATCTAGTATTTTATCTATACTGATATATCTAGTACTATTAGCATGTGTCTACAGTCACAAAAACAAGAGTGGGTGTATCTCTGTGTATGCATGTGTCCATTAAAAATAAATCTGCTTTGAGAATTTTAATATTATTTTGTACCCCTTAATTTTGCAGACATCTTGTGAAATGTTGTGAAAACAATGATGGGTGTTAATGACATGAAACAATAGAACCTTGGTAAAGCAGAAAGACGGACGGAGCACGTTTTAGAATGGCCCATGGGCCCACGTGTGGTACAGAATGTGCCTTAGGGATGCTAAGTATCTGGGAGCTGGGATTTTGCCCTCAGAGATCTGTATTACGTGGAAATCAGCAGTGTGGTTTCCGACTGCTTTAATAGAGGGCCATGATAATGATCTGACTTCCTCCCAAGGCTGTTTGCCAAGCTCCCATTATTTGGGGTATTGTGTACTAACAGGATTTTGTCATTATGTTGTCCCTTAGCTGGTCAAAACACAGCTTCTGTACCTTCTCAAATAACTTTTCAATCCATTTGGATCTGTAGAGTTAATATGACCATAATAATAGGAAAGAAAGTGGAAAATTGTAGCATCCAGAGGTGAATTTTATAATGCACATAGGATATTAGTGTTGGCCTTGGGAAGAAACAGACTATCATTGCTTATGTGGCATTTCTTCCCACTGCAGACTAAACTAGGGGGGCAGCACCAAACAGTGGAGACTTGGAGATCAGTGTTCTGTCTACACATTTGTTTTTCATGCATTTGTTCATTCATTCATTCTTCACTGTTTACTCAGTTCACATATACACTGCTATGAACCACTCTGTCATACACTGTAGATATAATAGGAATTGAAGCAGAGCACACTCTACCACTATGGAGAATCCATCCTTTAGCAAATATATCATGAAATACACAGAGTTCTATCATCATAAACCAAACTTAGAAGTAAAACAAAGTTCCAGAGATGCTGCAGATACCATAGCAAATGTGTATCTAGGGTCCAGAGGGACCTAGGAAGCACCAGGTGATCAGGCACTTCTTAGAAAGGGTATTGCCTACCTCATAGGGTTGCTATGAAGAATGTTTAACATAGTGCATGAAAAACACTTAGAACAGTGTTTTCATACAGTAGGGGCTCAATAAATGTTTGTGGAATGAATGAATGAAAAATAAGCCAACAACAAACATTGGCTATTATTAACCTATTCCTTGACTCATTATTCTTGACTGACTGGGAAGAGAACAGTGATGAAGTAGTGATGCTATTTGAACTAAGTGGATCGAATCCTCAAAAAGTTTGAATTTGTTCACTAATTGGATAAAAAGAAATAAACTTATTGAGCAGAAAACAGGAAAGAGCAGTACCATCCTGGTGTCTGTGTAGAGCTACACATAGTTTTACCTGCTCAGAACACCGGGCCCTGCAGGCAGGTTCATCAGGACAGGAGCCTAGAGGTGTGGGTAGACACTGGGCACAAATGGCCTGGTGGGAACTTCTGAGTACCTGCTCTGCCACTCTCTGTGTGTTATGCTTCATCCTCACCAAGGCTTTCTGGGCCTCTGCTTCCCTAAGATCACTCACTGGCTTTCCCCAAATCTCTTCCAGTACTAATATTCTGTGAGTTTATCAACTGATACCCATTAATTAACAGGAAGCACTTTGGAAATGATTTCTGCTTTAGTGCCAGTCTATCCTAAATTTGAACTCATTTGCTTAACCTCTCTAAGCCTCATTTTTCTCCTCTTTAACACCTGGGATGAGAAAGTCACATTGCAGGGAAATGTAATAAGAACTGAAAACACTCTATAAAGACCCCAGCAAGGCACTTAGAACATAAGTATTCAGCCAGAAAATGGTATTTATTATTACCAGTGATATCCAAATTATGTTTTTTAACCTGAAAAACTTTTTATCCAGAAAATTGGTCACCTTCATTGTGCTCTTTCATTAGAATTTCTAGTTTGCTCACTGATTTTTTTTATGGCTTCATGATAATGATGAAGGTCAAGCTAGGCAACTGTCCAGAGAGTTTTGGCATATGACCACATGATGCTGATGGTGCGGTGACATTGTGTCCTTCAGCGTTCTCAGAGATTTACAACTGCACACACACACACACACACACACACGTGTATATACACACACACACACACACACCAGGTAAAATAGGATTATGTTGATGAAGTAGCATTCCCATAAACTTATTCAGAAGTAAGGGGATATTGAAAGATTTTCCAGCAAGATCCTGTGAAAACAATTACATTTGACATACCAAGCCAAGCTCTGCAAATCTTCCCTAACAGTCTTTCTGCAGCACCTCCAGAAAGAGCAGTTTGGAGCAGCTTGAGTGAAGAGCACTTTTTAGTCCAAGCAGGGTTGAAATCTAGGCTAAATCTCAGATTATGCCCAGCAAGAAAGATGTGACAAATCCTTTTAGTGTCCTGCCTACTTGGGACTGATTTCTTCCAGAAAGACATTCCCTTCCTTTACCAAGGAGAAATGAGAGTTTCTTAGTTTCTGGGAAACACCAGCCATCCTGGATAAGGGAAGCAGAAGTTCCATAAGAATTAAAGTTCTAAGCATTCCTGTGGCAGACTTGAAGCCACTTAGTCAACACCCTGGCACCCACATTACTGGATGCTGACATCAGCACAGTATTCTCTTTAGAGCAGAACAAGGAGAAGCAAAGCACAGAGGGCAGGAAAGAAAAGAGCTAAGGTGATTTAATGTTT